ATAACATTCCCACTAAGGACATTTTAGCTATATGGCTGAAATTAATATGAAGAAAAAAAGGCTGCCAAGTGCAGCCTGGAAACTGTACACCACAAAGGCAGAGTTGGGATGGATGTGAGAATACAGATATGATTAGTTGCAGTTAGGATGATCTCCAGGGCAAGAGTACAAGTAAGTCTTCTCAAGAACCTACCAAATGAAGGAAGGTTTGGGGCCATGTGTTATCAATACTGGAGAATATTCAGCAAAAGCTGCAGTTAGCAGCTGGACGGGGCTCAGCGTACATCTTTCAGCACCTGCCACTCAACATGGGGACTGCCCCCTGTGCTGGGATGGATTCACCCCCTCTAGCAGCTGACAAGGAAAGGATTCACTCTCTAGCCAGACGGTGGCAAGGTCACAGCCACCTTTAGTACAGGAGCTATGAGGCAATATGCCACAGCAAATTCAGGGGAATATTCAGTATCTTCAGGGTTTCTTGCGGGTAAGGTGAGCAGATGAGTGCTGAGGACTTTCTGTAAATGCTAAGTGCTAAGTCCTGAAGTCAGGGGAGGTGTATGAGACATTATAATGTCAGGGCTTTTCAAAAAGGCAGTGTATCAGAGAGTCCCATCGGCTGGCAGCAGCAGCAGCCCCGCCCCGGGGGAGCAGGGGGAAGGGAGCTGCAGGGAACAGAAGCGGTATCTTAGCTGTTTGTCAGAATACCAGACATATACTTTCTGGTGGATGTGAGCATTAGCTACCTCTTTTGGGTTTGGTTTTTCTTTTTGCCTGGGTCCTTTCAAGAAACAGACATTTTCCTTATGACTCGAAAATCGCTTTGATTATCTTGAATGTGCCTGAAAGGCACCTGGACTGTTACCTTGTTGCATTGGAGGTGACAAAAGAAAAACTAGGGGGAAAAAAGGATTTCATTACAAAATATACTTTGCTTAATTTTTCAGAGGCAATGTCAACTCTTTTTAGGTTTTAAGCAGTAAAGTCGAAATAAATGTTTCCATTGCCTTGGCTATACTTCATAGAAGTTTACTGCTTTCATTTTAACTAACTATTAGATTAGGACAATTTTATAGGATGGAGTGTGTGAAATGTTTCATTGGAAAAAGTGTTGTTGTGTGCCATCCTTAAAGCGCACTTCTTCCTTAAGATGTACAACACCTATACACCCCCTCCCCACTGAAAAAATATCAACAGTAGAAAAAAAGCTCAATAAAACAAGAATAAAAACATTGCAAACTTCAGTGCTCAGTTAGTTATCTTTTTCTTATCTACTTGATTTGGCTTGTGTTTCCTATGCACACTTAGAAACCCCATCATTAACAGATTGACTTTAAGAGAAAGTTGGACTTTTAGCTTAGAATCTGTAAGTTATATGATCAAATGTTAGTTTTTAAGATCCTCTGATAAGTATCTTCTGTTCTCATTTGGTTGCAAATCTTGCATTACACTTTTGATGTTTATAAACAAATATAAATGATCAAAAAAAAAATCATATTAGTGATATCTCACCAATAAAGCTCTTTCCAGAAAACTCTAAGGATGAAGAGAACGTGACTGGTTTTGCTGGCAGTACTTAGGTTTACTGAGCTCTTATACTATTCCACATCTACCAGCAGAAGACAAGTAAAAGACATTATACAATTGAGTAGAGAAGTGGAGGGGAGGCTTTGTTGTAACATGCAGTGCTCTAGCATGTACCTACTTAGTGTACATCTGAACTGCAGCCTGTGGTGTGGTAGCATATTTCCTAACATGGGTAAGCATGTTTTCCTAACATAGGTAAGCGTGTTTATTAGGTTCTGGTGGCACTCAGGAATTGAAAGCTGTGGTGCTCACATATAGTGGCTTTTGCAAGACAACACCATGATATTAAAGAAAAGTTGACAAAAAGCATGGGAAAATGCCAAGGCACTCAATGCCTCCTTCACTCAGTTTTTACTGATAAGCCTGGTTTTCAGGAATCCCATGCCCCTGTGACCTGTGGGAAAGTCCAGATCACGGAAAACTTAGTGGGGAGGAATCAGGCTACAGAGCATTTAGGCAAACTGGACACAGACAAGTCCATGGGACCACATAGAAAGCACCCACAAGTGCTGAGGGAGCTGGCTGATGGCATTGTGGGGCCATTCTTAATTATCTTTGAAAGGTCATGGCAACTGGAGGAGGATCCTCATCAAAGGAAAAAAATATCACTCCTATCTTCAAGAAGACAAGGAGGAAGATTGAGGAACTACCAGTTCTGGCCAGTCATACCTCAAAGCCTGAAGCAAATCCTCCTTGAAGCCATTTCCAGATATGAAGGACAGGAAGATGACTGGGGATGGATGGACAGCATGGATTTATGAAGGGGAAATCATTCCTGACTGCACTAATAGCCTTTTATGATGACTTGACTTGACTGGCTTCATGGATGAGGGGAGAGCAGGGGTGGTTGTTTATCTCAACTTTAGCAAGGCTTTTGGCACTGTCTGTCACAACATCGTCATAGACAAACTATTGGAACAGACTAGCTAAATGGACAGCGAGGTACATGGAAAACTGGCTGAATTGCCATGCTCAAAGGGTTGTGATCAGCAGCATGAAGTCCAGCTGGAGGCCAGTCACTACTGGTGTACTGCAGAGGTTGATACTGGGCCAATACTATTTAACATCTTCATTAATTACCTGGATGATGGGACAGAGTGCACCCTCAACAAGTTTGCAGGAGATACAAGACTGGGAGGAATGGTTGATGCCCCAGAGGGTTGTGCTGCCATTCAGAGGCACCTGGATAGGCTGCACAAATGGGCCAACAGGAACCTCATGATGTTCAGCAAGGGGAAATGCAGTCCTGCACCTGGGGAGGAACAATCTGGGAGATGACCAGCTGGAATGCAGCTGTCCTGGTGGACACCAAGTTGAACATGAGTCAGCAATGTGCCCTCGCAGCAAAGGCGGCCAATAGCCTCCTGGGCTGCATTAGGCAGAGCATTGCCAGCAGGTTGAGGGAGGGGATCCTTCACTCTGCTCAGCACTGGTGAGACACATCTGGAGCGCTGGGTCCAGCTCTGGGCTCCCCAGTACAAGAGAGACATGGACTTACAGGTATGGGCCCAGCAAAGGGTCACGAAGGTGATTAAAGGACTGGAGGATCTGTCATACAAGAAGAGGCTGGGATTGCTGAGGCCGCTCAGCCTGGAGAGGATAAGGTTCAGGGGGATCTTATCCATGTTCATAAGTAACTGATGGGGGGTAAGTAAAGAAGATGGATCCAGATTCTTCTCAGCGGTACCCAGTTATAGGACAAGAGGCAGTGGGCACAAACTGAAACACAGGACATTCCACTTAAACATAAGAAAAACCTTTTACTGTGAGGGTGGCTAAGCACTGGCACAGGTTGCCCAGAGAAGCTGTGGAGTCTCTATCCCTGGAGCTATTCAAAACCTGACGGGGCATGGTTAACCTGCTCTAGCTGACCTTGCTCTGGGACTAGATGGACTAGGGGGACTGGGTGATCTCTAAAGGTTCCTTCCAACTTCAATGATTCAGTGATTCTCTTTGTTTAGATGTAGAGAAATATGTTGGTCAAGCTGCCCAGCTTGTAGAAATATCATCAAGTAAAAAGGAAAAAAAATGGTACTATGGAGGGAGAACAGCAGACTATTTGGCTTGTTTTACCTTGGTGTTGAAAGTGAGAACACATTTACAACATAAAAAGGAAGTGTTTTTTAAAAAACAATTGTTGCAAAAACTGAGTTGAACAACACACTTCATTGGAATTTAACAGCCTCAAAGCATATTACTGTTGTGGTTTTTCTTCCCAAAAGCAATGTTTGTTTCCTCGAAGGTGGGTGGTCTAGCACTCAGGAAGCTGATAGTGTACTGGGTTTCACCGGGCACATTAACCTATCTTTCCATTTTTCAGAAAAGAAAGTAATAATGTTTTCATCTTTTGTAAAGCAATTTCAGATCTAAATATGAAACCAAATGTAGGTATTTATATTCTGTGCTCTGACATTTTTTTTAATATAAGGAAAATAATGTGATTAAAAATAATAATGAGAAAAGAGAGAAGAAAGTACTTGATACTCAATGCTTGTATCAACTTTTGTGTCGCTGAAATTCAGGCATTTAGCATTAATCCTTTTTTATTCAGTTGAGAACTCCTGTTTATATCATCACGCCTAAAAAACTAGGAGGTTAATAGACAACTAATTAAATATTAAGTCCCCATTCATTCTGCTACATGTCAGTGACTGCTGAATAGCAGGAAAGGAGATGGGAGGGAAGAGATTACAAATAGCTGTTTAATGAAAGCTGTGTCAAGCCAGAACAGATATTGCTAAAATATTTGTTTATGGCAAGGCAGACATCTCCAGATCAGGTGCACGAAGAGCTGCTTGTCTAAGTTCACTTTCAGTGGACTGGAATCAATGTGAAAAGTGGCCCTTTCTGGGAATTTCAGTGGCAAGCCTTTGCATACAGAGTGGAATAGGTGTGGAGAGATAATCTTTTAATTTTAAGTCTAAGAAGGAAGGGAGAGAGGAGTGGTTGCAATGCTAAAGCATATTCTGCGCTGGTACTGTGGATAAAGAAAAAGCTGTTATACTCACTCAACTCTTCTTATAAATCCTTAAATGCAAGGATGTAGTTCTGTGTATTTGTGTATTCCAATGAAACTAGGTTAATTAAATTAGTGTCGATAATGTTTTCCTTTTAATCGATGTTTACATGATCTGTTTGGGAAAACTCACTTTCTACTTGTTTTCAGCCACATCTGTACCAGATTGTACGGAGGCTGAGGGATCTGTACTTTTGTTTCAATGTATATTGCAACATTTTTATTGCATTCCACAGGTCCTCCAGTAAACGTTACTTGCAATATTTTTATCAACAGTTTTGGATCAGTCACAGAAACCACAATGGTAAGTGCTATGATGCCATTGGCAAGAGAACAACAATACTTAATATATGTCATGAACACAACCTGTCAATTTTTCTATTTATTGTTCAACTTGCAGGTCCTCCTGTAAATGTTACCTGCAACATATTTATCAACAGCTTTGGTTCAATAGCAGAAACTACAATGGTGAGTGGGACTGGTCATTGAAGCCATCTTGTGAAGGAGTGGGATGTGATGTAGAATAGACATGCTCAGGACGTGGGGACGTTTACTAAGTTATTAAGCTACTAAAAACCTACCAGCTTAATTAAAAAAAAAAAACAACAAAATAACTATATAAAGGGATATATAAATTATTAAACTCAACTACCAAGTCTAAAAGTACGTATGTAGTGACTGCACCATAGTCTGTAGTGACTGTGATGGCAGCAAATATAGGTGTGTGCAAACAAGCTTTCTCAGGTTTTATTAGCACCAAAGAGGCAGAGGAACGGCTGGAGTTCAGCTGTGGGGCTCCCTGCCAAGTACTCCATATTTTGAGTGGGTCTTACACCACATGTTGAATTATCTGCTGCTGCAGACTGTGCTGACAGAGCTACCAGAACGGGCTTGTTTAACTTAGCTAAATCTCTGTGAACCACAGCCACATCAGTAACTGAAGTGAATGCAAATAACTAAAACATATAGCTATAAGGAGACTTGGGTATTTTGAGAGTTAAATTGGTACTAGGAAATGATGGCATCCCAGCTGAATGAAATGTGTGTTTTGACTGAACTCAAAGAACACTATCAGTCAAAAAAACAAGGCCAACATGAAAATGTCAGAGTTTTAATTTTGATATATATAAAAATAAATAGCTTGATTTTTCATTTCAAGGTGAGATATTTCTTTTAAAAATTGCCAAAATTTAGGATTAACAAAGTCAAGCTAAAAAAATTGAAATGAAAATTTTAGTCCAAATAGTCCATTTAGTCCAAAATTTTTTCTTTTTTATTCTAGAAGTGAATTTTCTTTTTTGTCAGTATTTGCTAAGAAAAATGAAAAATATTTTTTCTGAGTCCATTTAAAAAGATGCTGAGTTTTTTATCTTCTTTTTCAAACAATGAACAAAAAAGATCAGTTATTTATTCAAGCATACCTACACCTGACTACTGGGGTTAGTCCAGAGAGAGATTTTTGATGGCTTTCTTATAAGAATGTGATAACCCCGTAATAATTATCAGGTGCTCATATACAAGAAGTGGGTTAAACCCATTCTAGAAAGTGTTTAGTGACAAATCCCATCTGGACTTTGAACTCTTCAATTCACCGCTGCCACAAAATAAACTAAAAATGGGTGCTCTCACCTTCATTGAAATTTTGCAAGAGTTGTTTTCATTGCCTCAGGACACTATAGACACTTTCGAAGCAATTGCAATGTAGCTTCACAACTCTGTTTTCCGGGGATTCCTACATAGCATCCAGGTCTTTCTGTATTTGCTCAAGCCAGAGGCAATAAAGGTGCTTAACATCCTGTAGGACTGAGTTCTTGGTAACTAAAAACGAACTTGCTACCCACAAAAGGACTTAAGGTATACTAAAGAACTATTTTTTAATAAAATGGGATAGATACTGCCTTGCAATCCTTGTATTATGAAGGAAGAGCAGATATTTAGCCCAATAATTATTTTATTTAATATTCAAATACTTCATTTAAATTAAATTGTAATTCATGCCATCATTTTAGAAAGTGGTGCCTAAGGAATATAAGAATACAAATCTTCTCTTCTAAATATTTTTATTAAAAAAACCATCCTGTTATTTAATGTTTTCTAGAGATAAAGGGCAAGATATTGCTAGGCAGGTTGCTTTCTTAAATAGTGCGGGAAAGACTTCTATAAATGACAAGCTGTAACATACAGAGCTATAAAATAAAAAGGTAAGTTAATGCTTTAGAATATGTATCTGTAATATTTTAAAAACACCTTAAAAGAAAACCAAAATCAAGTTAAAAATGACGGGGAAAAACATGTCTTGATGTAACATAATTATCAACAGACTTAATTTTCTTTTTTTTTTGAAAACTTCATTTGTTTTCCTATGTTTAAAGGATTCTGAGAACATAGCTATGAATGTAGTCTTTTTTTACTCAGCCATGTCTGTTGATCCTAGCGTGTAGAGGTATCAGCATAGCGTTAAGTAGCAAAAATCCTGCACGTCACTGGCTTTACAAGATGGCATTCAATGAAAATATTTGCACGACCTAATGCTGATTGCATTAATTAGACTCCTTCATTGCTTTGATTAAATCCCCTCATTGCATTTTACCTTCTATCAAATATGTTAATGTGCACCTTTCCAATGTTCATTAACACATTCTGCTGAAAACAGCCAACGTTCAAGCAGATGAAAACAAAGACTATTGGCTTTCTTACTTTGCTTTGTTCATAATATCTGCTGAAAGTGTGCAAAGATTTCTCTTAGATGCTGTTCAATGGTTTGATATCGATTTTCTTAATGCTGTCACTTCTTTAATGACTAGTGTGACTAGTTTTAGGATGTTTTAAAACAACTCTGAGAGGTAGACATCAATTACTGTTCCGTCTACTTTGCCTTTCTGCAACAGGTGTAATCGTGGTAAAAATGTTGGCATCCCTTGTGATAAATAATGAGTTTTGTTTGACTGCTAGGATTCGTTTTTTCCTATAAAATGCTCTTGATGGTTTTGACATAAAACTAAAAGATTCATTTAAAACCCTGGATTGTAAGTTCAATAGAGACACTCTTGTCTCAGAGGACAGGAATGCTTAGTGAAACCATGTATATGTGCCGAAGGGACATTATCAGAATGTAACTTGGACGATCTACGGTAGCTCATTGGAAACTTGGGAGATGAAAACTTGTTTAGAGAAGCTTTCAGTAGGAGAAATGAACATGGCAAACAGGGTTACAGTCCCAGACCTACTACATTCAGTAAACTAGGTTCTCAATAACATCAGCAAGCTTCTGTTTTCTGATTAGGACGGACACCAAGATGAAATTCACTTCTGTGTGAAAAGTCAGCACAACACTTATGTCCACTATATTCATCTAAAAGCTAAACCCTTTCAATCAGAAATAATACAGGATTTTGTGCTGGCTTTCTCCAAATAGATGAATTCCATAGAGTCTTCATGAGTTTTGTCCCAAAAATCTAGGGAAACAAAATGCATATGTGTTAGTCTTTCTGCACTATAATGCACGTATGGGACAGTATCGCAACTGATTTTTTTTTTTTCTCCAAAAGAAATGGTTTTCTTCCATATTAGGACGATGTATATTATACCAAAATAAAAACAGTAAAAAAAAGGCCAGATCAGAGTCAAGACTGTTGGAAATTTTCTTCACTGATTCGCTTGTCTTTCATTTAAGCCCTTACTTGCAAAGAAAGAGAAAAAGACGTTCCTGAGTAACTTCACTGAATAAAGCAGTTATGCCAGTAAGGTCTGTATCTATTTTTGGAAGCATTCACACATGCAGTATTCAGCAGAAAATTCACTGTACAGCATGACTGCAGTTGAGTATCACAGATGAGTAATCTACATCAGGCTGGGCAGAGTCCCAAAGAATTCAGATGTTCGGTGTTGTTAATGACCAGGATTTTTTAGCTATCAGCTGTAGGAGAAGCTAAGAGCAGTTTGTACATTGATGAGCTAATTGTTAATTACAGAAATGACTAACTGCGAGGACATTATTATTATCGTTATGCCCTATAATCAATGACTGACACTATGCAGCAGGTTCTCTCTTGGGGTAAAAGCATCAAACTCCAGTTGTGTTTTGAGTACTTATGTTAGCAGAAAAAAATTGCCGTTCCTTTTAAAATTTTAGGAGCAATAATGCTTGGCTGTGGCTGGCTGTACGATATTATCTTCCCACTAGAAAAAACGTAATTACAAATCAGCTTGTTAGATCCTGATTAATTCACATGCATAGTTTTAACTGCTTAAGAGACTCCCACTGAAAACATTGGGGGCACCTTGTGTGCCTAGGTACATAGGGAACCAAGCGCTTTTCTGTCACATGGCCTTGAACCAGATGATTAAACCACTACTTTTCATTTAGCATTCATATTTAGGATTTGGAGAGAGAAAGTAGCCTCTTTGGCAAGCCCCTCCTATGCATGGAAAGTCAGCTAAATCTGCTGTTTGCCTCAGACTTCTGACTCAATACCTGGGCAATCAATGCTGTTGGAGGGGAAGATGGGAGGAAGGCTAAGATCTAAGATAACCATCAGTTCAGAGACAGAAAATAGCACCAAAAATGGAGCAGGGCTCCCCAGCATCCCCCTGCCACAGCAGTGCCTGAGGCCAGAGGGACCCAGAGCTTTGCTGAAGCTCTGGGGAGTGAACCTGGTGGCCATGGGTTTGCTGAAAGACCATTTCTCTCTAGATTCCTATAGAAAAAATGAAGTATATCTGTGGATGGAGTCCCTGAATCTTCAGATAGATCTACTAAAATTAATCAGATGAATATTCCTTTAGCATGTTACTATTACCCTGATCTTATGCCTTGAGAACAGAGGAAAACTCTTTATCTGAGATATCGCTGGCATTGGTGTTGCAACTGAGATTGAATCTTCAGGTCCACACTCCTCGTTCAGAGCAGTGGTGCTGTCAGAAAGAATTTGTGGAGCAGGTGTACACGTGGTCATGTAGGAGTGCTTTACTACAGTCCACCCAATTCTACCCTCAGGAACTTGCAAGATACTCACCGTAGTCTGCCTGAGCTCCATGTTGTGATACTGTTCTCAGGATAGTTTTTCTTCAGAAGATAGTCACAATGTTAGCACAGGAAAAGTAAATTCAAAATTCTGCACATGATTAGGTCTGACTGTGTAAACACACATCACCCTCAGCTGCTTATACCACAAGCATAGGAGAAAAAAAGCAATGATGTGCATGTTATATTATATTTCCATTTTTATTTCTTATTAAAATATCTATACATCTATACATATGCAAAGCCTATAGACATAAACAAAGGTTTCAGTGCTGTTTTGCTTCTAACAACAAAGCTTGCAGAGAGAAAGCATTTCTAAGTGTATCAGTGTGATGGCTCTAATATATTTATGAAGGTACATATTGAAAAAGATAGTATAATCATATTGGTATTTTTTATGCTTTTGGTATAATATATATCATCACATGCAAGCTCTTCTATGAATAAGGATTTTTCAGAATGTTTTTTGTTATCTAAATCACCAACTGCTGAAGTTTATGAAAGTACATTTATTTTTAGATATTTCAAAAAAATTTACTGATTTGACTGATTTACGATTTCTATGTCATGGGGGGGACAAATCCCTCTGCTTTCGGTAGACTTCATTGTATATCTTATTTCAAAGAAAAATTAAAGACAGTTGTAGCAATTTTATTCTAGCAGCAGTTGCGGATGACAGCTCCTGTCTTCTTTTCTGCAGAATGAGAAAGTGCTTTCCTGGCTTTATAACTAAAACTGTCCCATATAAACTTACAAGACACTCTCAGTTTCTAAGACTGAGAAACAAGGGAAAGCATGCTTAGGGTTAGTGTATCCTCACAAGATGTGACGACATTTATAAGCTCAGAACTGCAAGTAGCTATTTGATTTTTAACTGTACGAAACACCACCATCATAAAAGTACAGTTGCTTATGAAAAAAAGATACAGGCTTTTGTAAGTATCTTTAATAAATCTGCTATTCTTGAGATCTCTCTCAGGTCGGTCTTGCTCTGATTAGTAGACATTCCTGTTTTGACTCACATCTACCCAACAGCAAAATGAAAATGATAAAGAAAGCAAGAAAATTCACATTCCTAGTAAGATTTTAAAGCATCATCCCATAGGGTTCAAAAATGACATTAGTTTGGATGTCAGAAATATTCTGTCAGGGCAGCAGCACACCTCTTCACCAACCAAGGGTGGGAAACGCTGAAGCTTGGAGGGGCTCGTTTCACAGAGGCTGCATATTGGGCAAGCTGCTTTCTGCAGCTCTAATCGGAGTGAGAATATTTATTTACATTTCAAGGATAATAAGTTCTTTAGACTACGCAGTTCAGTGGCCTAACTAAACCCAGGTCAACTCATACATTTTCCAAGTCAAAAGCTCAGTGCTGCCATTTTAAAGTACTGCTGCTATCATGAAGCAGATCTTAAATGTGAGGGGTTTGTACAGTTGGAAGAATTATTTGCTAACATATTCCTTCAGATAATATAATTGATATAAATATTATTAAATATTTTTCTTTTAGAGGAAAAGTAGATGTATTTCTAAGACAGCAAGTTAAGCGTAGCAATTTCAGGTTAATATTCTATAATAGCAGGGAAAGCTGGGGGAGATGAAGCCTTATTTGCTGACTTTGGAAATTCAGGATAAGGAGAATAAGCTTTAGCATCTTTCCATTCCCTCCAGAGAGTTTAGACCCCAAAAGCTCTTTTCACACTCCCCTTTAATAGCCAGTTCTTGACACAGCGTTAATGTTGGTTCTAAACGAACCTATAAATTGGTTCTAAACAAATGAATAATTGCTGCCTTTCCCAGTTGTGACTAGCAGACCACTGAGCAGAAGAATGCAATTAGAACAATTTTAAGGAACCTACAGAGAAAAGCATACAGTAGATAGAAAAAGGATACAAACAGTAAATAAAAAGTGCTGATTTAATTTCCTTTATACAAATCTGGCTTCACTGGAATTAGCAACTATTCATGAGTACATTAGAAATAATTGATTTACATATTGGAAGCAGTTTATTTAAATTAGTATTTTTATAGAATCTTTGTTGAAATTGTATATATCTAGCTGCAATGCTTTTTGACTTTATAAGTACCTCTGAGTTAATCCATAGCATTTGAAAGAGAGTTATGTTTAATATTGCAGTTAATATTTTTTTTATCGCTGAAGTAATTTTGATTTGGAAAATGTACCAGTTGTGTTTGTTTGGTTCAATACAACATTTAGACTGCTTTATTTTCAAATGACAACTCTTATGTTCAAAGGATAACATAAATGCTGTAACGCTGGTACTGTAGTAAGTCTAAGAACATAAAGAAAGCTATAGTGGGCTTCCAGTTTTGGTAAGTGGCTTAGTAACCTTTTTACATGGCATTTCTGTAGGACTACAGAGTGAACATTTTTTTGAGACAGCAGTGGAACGACTCACGTTTGGCTTACAGCGAATATCCCGATGATTCCCTGGATTTGGATCCTTCTATGTTGGACTCTATTTGGAAGCCGGATTTATTCTTTGCCAATGAGAAGGGAGCAAACTTCCATGATGTCACGACAGACAACAAGTTACTGAGGATTTCTAAAACTGGAAAAGTTTTGTACAGTATCAGGTAAACCAGTTAACTTTATTTTTCATCCCCTTCTTTCCCCTCACTCCCTGTTCTTCTGGATGTAACTAGGCTTACAGAACATAATGTACATATTTAATTTTTTGTTGTCCCATGTGTACAACTGAAATGAGACTTAAGCATAACAGGGTAGAAGGAAATTTTGCTTACATTCCTTTGCTAAGCTTTTACTTTTCACAAAATAGTCTGTAAGTAGCACAGCAGTACTTCTTAGTCTTGTTGGAAACTTAAGGCTGTCTAATGCTTTAATGGTACGCCTCAATAATTCCCATTAGTGTTAGCTCAAGTCACTCCTCTTACAAAAAGAGGAAATCAACTCTTCCGTAGTTTGTGGGTTGCAATTTGAAAGTAAAGGGGAATAGTATTTTAAATGACTGCTCAACACCTAAAGTAAAAACATGCTTAAAATGCAATAAACTTGACATGCAAGTCACTGGGTAATCGGATGTATCTATTCACATTTAAAAATAACTGGAATTACGGAAGCGTTTTTTAATACTAAGTGCATTGAAGTGTGTGTCATGTGACTGGATTTAGGTTGAATTAATAAACACTGACAAAACATGATTTGATATGGCCTGATGGAGGGGGACATATGCAGAGAATCAGAATTGCATTGCACAGGCATAAACAGCAGAAAATAATCTGCAGCATTTATTTGACATTCAGCTTACTGTGCACCGTTAATTGCTTAATATAGGTAGTCAAAGATGCAAACCGCTGTATTATTGCTCTTACAATTGTTTAAAAAAAAGTAATTACTGTGTTTTATTTGTGCCTGGGAATGCTTCTCAGCTTTTGCCTTCCTTACATTGCGGAAAGTGTAAACATGATAGTATTTGTTTAACAGGTTGTTTAGTGAATTTACTCATCTGTAAGGAAGATTAGTTTAGAAGGTAGTTGTTTCTGACCGGGCAGTCTGTTTGTGACCTGCATTTTCATTAAGGAATTATTATGGATCCAGGTTCAGGACAGCTGTGTTCTTTAGGATGCTAAATAAACACCATGGCACTTCCTCCATTTATTTAATTCTCGTGGAAATTCCTTGGTAAGACTCCAGCAATATTTGGATGGATTAAGCAGTGTGGAACTTAAATGTTTATTGAGCAAGGTTTCAAACTGGCGTACCTGAACAGTTTGAGAAAAAAAATAGGATGCAAGGATGAAACTAGTACTAGCAGAGTGATAAATATGCTGTCACTTACAAATATTTCTTCTTTCACCCTGGGAAAGAAATGAATGCATCTGTTTGTTTGAATGACATCAGACACTGTCTTATTGGAGGCAACAGTGCAGTTGGGTGCTGTTCTGAATGCAGATGGATAATTTTCCTGACATTTGTCCATGGGGGAAAAGTAATATTTTGAGCTGTCATATCACATTTGTAAAATTCCCACACCTAAATGCAAATTAGTCTGAAGCAGAGTAAGCAGTATTCCAATGGAGTACTAAGCAAAGCTCATTGTTTCTCATTTGTATCGCACAGAAGTAATAGAGCCTTACCTGGCACTTCTAACATGGCATTTAATTCTGAATAGCACTTTACAGCGAAGAAAACTCCAGAGTATGGAAATTTGAAGTCAGAAGTAGGTAGAAAAACTTGTCTTTATTCTCTAGATAGTGGGCTAGATGTATCTGTGTGTTGCCAGTCACTTTTGATTGTACTATGCGGAAACAAACAGGAATATTTTAGTGATTGGTTTCAGTACATTGAGAATGTTATAATGCTGCCATTTTCACTACTACACCAATAGCACTTAGCCTTGCATCATGGTATTTAACATTGAGCATTTAGAGTGCTGTAAATGTTTAAAGCACTTTATGAAGATGTCTGAGAAATGGTGGTGTAGGCTGTTTTGTCATATTTCCAAATTTAGTAAAATCAAGGGCAAGTTAATCTCACATAAATATAAACTGTTTTCTGCATAAAATGAGTTTAGAACTCCTGCTGGTAATTAAGGGGTAAGAAGCAAGGTATGCATATTATATGGCAGTGGTATTCCTCTTCCCTGTATACTGCACCAAAAACATGGAAATATGCTACGCAAGAGGCACAACTGGCTTATGTTGTTAAATACTCTCAGAGGCCAGTCCTGCCCTTTCTGAAAAGAATTTGGAAAGTCACCCGGGACTAGATCTCATGGTCCATACTTTACTAAAACAAGACATTTCATGTAGGATATGGGTGCTCAGATAAGCCATGGCAGGGTCAGTGAGGGTCTGGCCTGTGTGTTAGTCCCACCGCAGTGCTTAGCTCTGGGAATTATCTCACCTCATGGTAAGCATGAGGCTCTTTGTCCTTCTCTCAGCAAGGGATAAGCCATCCTGCATTTGCTGGTGATGGTAAGCATGACGTAGATCTCCATCATAGTTTACCTTACAGTAATTAGTTATGATGCTTATGCGTGCAGACCCCTAGATCTATAATTAATTCTCTGGGAGTTGTTATAGAAAATAAAGCCAGAGTTGTTGATGGTTGATGTACCCACCTATGAATCATATAAGCTTTGCAGTCTAAAGCTATTTTTAGATATTTGCTGCGTGCTCAAATGACTACCTTGGTATTTGTTTTGATCTCAAATAACATGCTATATATGCTATATAGAGCTATATGAGGCTCTGTAACTGCATAACTGGTCTAAACCTTTGGGTACTGCAGAAAGAACTAGAACCTCGGGAAGGGAATCCAGCACTACTCTATACCGCAAATATATGCTATTGCCACTAGAGATGTAACAAGAGCTCTTAGAGGTGCATGTATTTTGAGAATTCAGCAGTTACAGCAAAGTTATATTGAGCAAATAACTACACTTTAGTCAAGATAAGTCTCAGTTGCATTCTTTGAGCTGCAAACCAGTTAAATAGCTATAACCTTTATTTTAAAGGCCTCTGCAGAGAGCAGTTAACAAGAGGGGTTTGTTATAGCAGTGTTCAATAAAATTAGCTTAAGTTGTGTATATTTTGTATGCTGAAAAAACAATGAGACTTAAAATCAGAACCCACATATCGTCACCCTCCAGATGCCTCTGACTCATCCGCTCCCAACCTTTGAATGATCTCTGCATGGACTGGATTTTGTAGGGGGCTATGCACTTGGAAAAAAAAATGATACTGAGAATCCTGTTCCTGGCAGTCATATTCTGTATGACACATGGATTTTGCACTGTATACACCGCTGCACTGATTTTATGTTCCAGGGGCAAGGACAGTATCTTCTCTGGCCCATTGCGGATACCCGGGACATCAAGAAAATGTTAAATAACCTCACAGGAGGTTTCGTGGTCTCTCTGAGCCACCCATTTGTGCTACCTGATTCCCACAAACTCATTTCAGGCTGCCAGCCAGCTCAGAATATTAGCATCTGCCAAAAAGCTTATTTTAGCAAAGTGATAGAAAGTGGAATGGTTTTATTTAAGGTTTGGGGTTTTTTCCTGCATTAATTGCCTCCCTCTCCTTTTAATATTTTCAGTGCATCTCAGCCATATGAGCTTGATGCAGAAGGTGATATAACTCAATTGTAATATTGATCCATGGCATTGAACCTAGAATATATTGGTTAGGAAGGTAAAGGGGCTGTAACTCCTTTTTTTTTTCCTGCTGCTCCAGAAAACACTCCCTATTGCCTGATAAAGTTGTAGAGCTGTGCTGTGAAACGTAGTGCCAGTGCATTTAGCCAGAAAGAGTTACAAAGCAGATTATTTCATATTCTTAAAATATGCAAAGATTTTAGAAGGTGTTGCGTAATTTGACAAGAGAGCCACTTGGAATTCTAGGGAGGAGATTTCTGCGAATTCACAAATTACAATTCTCCCCCCCTTTCTTATATTCCTGTTCAAAGAGCAAAGAAATACTTAGGAAGAATTTCCTCAAGTCTTTCAAAATATCTGTTCTTCTGTCTTTGTTTATCTGCACAGTGCAAGAAATGTTACAGTTATGTAGACAATTAGTTCTTCATGGTTTCAACTCTTGACCTAGATTTAATTGTTAAATGTTATTATGGCCAAAGGCAGAGCGTCTACTAGAGACCAGTACTGTGCTGTTAGGGCACCACGAAACAAGGAAATTCAAGCTATTAGATTGCTCTCTCTCTGTGCAGCTGTTCTGGGGGTGATTACTAGCCCCTCCGTTCGGCAACAAGTAGCTGACAGGATGAGTTGGCACATCCAAAAGGCCTCGCCTGCTACGCAGCCGAAGACAGGTATCTGTGAAAACAGCACATGTATTTGCAATGCTATCTCCTCTGCCAGCTGCCTTACTCAGGAGTTTCCAAAACCAACTCTTCCTAGTGTGGCCATAGTGCCGAGTGACAGAGCACCGAGCCCAACCTCCCCGCACGCCCCACTGCCCCACACACCATTTTGGATTATATTACGAGTTATGATTACCATGTCCCTCCCATAAATCATCAGAAGTAATCATCTATAGCATTTTATAATTCAGCTTTTATGAGTGAAACTTCTGTGTTTTGTAGTCTCCTCTGTACCTGTGTTCTCTGACCTGTGGGAAAGAAACACAAAGCAGATTAAGGAAATACATAGGTAACACTGCTAGTCCCTCTGTAATAGAGTATTCATTGGGAGAAAAGTCCACTATCCTTCTGAAATATTTTGGTTTTAAATAAGATCAGATCTTAGATCTTTAGTGTGGCTACTACAGAATATGTTGCCATGTTACAGTGAAGTCTAGGCGTGGGTTTTCTAAAACTATTTTGGGGTACAGACCTTATCAGCTATACGATAATGAAGCTCCATTTACACCTGATGACATTGTTGTGTGTAAATCATTCATGGCACAGCACAGTCCAGCCTAACAGAATGGTAGGAAATGTTATGTTCTACAGCTCTGTGTGCATCCTGTGCTTTAATTTGATGACTTCAATTTTATTTTACAATCTAATGTTGGGATTTAGGAGGATTTGGACTTTACTAGCAGCATTGTCTTTCCATGTGACAGATTAGCAGAGCAGGGAGCAGAGAGACTGT